CACACCACCACCACCACCACCACCACCACCATCACCACAACAACAACAGCAAAGTCAAGAACTTTATAAAACAACCCCAAAACTAACAAACAGTAAACAGGAAAAGTAAGATTAAGTCAACACAAAACAAGAAATTAGAAAGATGAAAACATTTTCAGAAGCAGACACGACACGAAAGAGAGGACGATGCTCCCGGGACGGACACGAGACACTATGGCCAAGACTCGCTTTCGCCTCGAGGTCACTGGGAAGAACAGGAACATCAGGATGTCACTACAACTACAACCTTCTGTAAGTTTTATTGTCATTGATGTGGGCCTATAGCAGCCGAGCAACACGCAAATTTTTATACTAGCATGAGCAGCTGCTGAAAACAGGAAAGGCAATGGGCGAGAGGAAGGTTAGTCTTCGGCTGCAGTAATTCGGTTTAAACTAAAACTGGTCACTTGAGGGTTGAAGGTGGGATCCAAGGTCATGTGGTTACTCGTGGAAGCAGACAGATGAGATAAAGATTGATTTACTTGAAAAGAAACACACAGAGCAGGAATTGCCTCTCATGCCTTGCGAAATTGTTGGTTTATGGGGGCAAGATGGGGAGGTGGGTCATGATGTATCTCCACAGTAAGCACCGGCGTCTGTGCGTCTGTGTGTGGTTTAAAATTCAGGCTATCCGCCTTGCATAGAATAGATACGAGTACGTTTCCTACTAATCCTACCTGTGGATGTTTTTCTTTTAACTCCTTCATGGAGACACCATTCAGATCGGGACGACCCCAATACATAGAATGGAGCAGACCGCTGTTACATCTTTTAAATCAAATGAGTCGATAAGGGTGTCACAACTTACAACAAATAGTCAGTGGGTACCCGGACTGTTTTTACTGATATTAATTCATTCTGCACTGAAGCCTCGTGCTGGATCCCATGCAGGTACGTGGATATTCTATTTTAATATAGTATAAAGCGCATAGAGCCTGCTGTTGAGCGGGGATATGCGCTATACAAATGCTATCTATTATTATTATTATTATTATTTATGTATAGGTCCTTAGAAACATGCAAATCTTTTGTTCATTAGCCCCTGGATGTCGTGGCATATGTTCATGGGCCAGTGGACCTGCATTTTAACTTTCATTAAGACTGTCTTCTTTACATTGGCGGCCTGGTTCAAATGATGCGAAGGTGTTAAAATGTGTTTTTGGAAAGGGGGAAGGGGTGGGGGGAGGAGAGTAGGGTTGGGGTCAATCTCTCCTGTATTATCTCCAACCCCATTCTTTCCCCTCCTCTTTAGTCTGCTTCACCCTATCTTCTTTCTGCCTCCTCCTCCTCCTCCTCCTTTCCTCATCTTTCTCTTGTTACCTGTATATTTTTGTTGCTCTCCTTTCATTAACCTTCCTTCTTCTATTCTTATTATCAGAGAGAAGGGAAAAGTACACAGTGCCAAAAATTCATTTTTTATTTTATTGCATTTTAAAACTGATATTTCACAAGATGTACAGCTTGAAAAACAGCATGTGCTAATCAATTTCTCTGAAACATGCAAACTAAAAAGAGCTAAAGGGTAAAGGCGTATTTTTTCATGCTCTTAATAAGTTAACTTTTGAGTAGGCCTACCTTGTTTTGTATTTTAATTCTGTACAAATTGATCTTGGGTTGAACATACCAAAAGTTACATTAAGTCCTGTTTACAAACATTAGTATAGGTTTATATCAAAATACTTTTCTGTTTTAGTTATCACAGAACTTCTTTGGAAAAAGATAACAAGCGATATACAATGTACACAGAATAAAGAAGTATCAAGACACAAACATTACCATAACTTGAGTTCATGTACACATGTTAAAATTCCAGACTTCTCTCATTCAATATTGTTTTTGAAAGAAATTCAAAATAATTTCAAAATTTGCGATCCCACATAAAATCATAATTAAGTTCAAACATAGCAAACATACTCACAGCTATAAGATCTGTCATTGTAATCTTGATAAAGACATAAAATAATATCCTCTACTAAATTGTTAGCAAAGAGAGAAAGTGCAATGAAAACCAAAATTCACTTTGCTCAAGCTTGGAAGTTTTCAGTCTATCTGGGGGTTGTGCTGGAACAAAAACTCCGCCTGAAAAGAAGCAACATTATTTGTAACATTTTGTTCCAAATGATAAGTGCATACAAGTTGTTACTACCTAAATTATGATATTGTTTTTCCCTTCCTAATCTCAAAATGATAGTCATAATATATATGACCAAGAGAAAGATAGAATAAGTGAATCTTATTTACCTTCCAATAAAGACATTTTTCTTTCAGTTTAAATCATATAAATCTAAGAAGATAAAGATAAAACTAATTTGTAATCAACAAGACCGTCATATCTAAGAGCAGCTCTTTGAATAACAAATAAAGTATTCCTAAATCGAATAAAAGAGTGACTTGTGCATTTTGTAGCCTACTTGTGTCAACCATACTCTGACTCTGAGAAAAACATGATCTATATTAACTGTGTGCGGTTTCTTTTATGTGAGACGTGGTAAAGGGAAAAAAAACAACTAACATAGATTCTAAAACAAAACATGACCCTGACTGAGAAAACTTTTAGGAAAGAACTTCTTCCTCATGTCACTAGTGCAAAGATTAGTAGGAAAAGACATCAGAAAGTAAAATATTAAATTAGAGATTTTGTAATATGCAAAAGTTGTGTATCAGAATCTGAGCACTTTTTTGCTACACTATGCATGTGCTTAGCTGAGAGCTTCCCAAGCAACATAATATGATGACTTGACTAATTCGCACTGATGCATCAATTGTTCATGTTCCTTGTGTCGATCAAATTCATAAATTCTCTGGCCTCTGTGACAAGGTAAGCAATGCTAAATGCTATCAAAAGAACTTAAACAGGCGAAACAAAGCAGAGCTCAGTAAACTGCTCATCAAAAGCAGCGAACTTACATGCAATTTTGTCTGTGGCAAACACAACACACTTGTTCATTTCACTAGCTTTCCAAGAGTGCCTATTTATAACTGAACTGTGCTGTACTTTTTCCAGCTGTTATAGCAGTGTTTACTGAGGCAGTAACCATAGTCTGCTAAACAAGGACAGACCGTTGAAACTAACATGAACTTACCAAATAGTCAATTGGGTCCTCTGGTCTGGACTTGCAGCAGTCAATGAGACCCTGTGTCAGTGTGGGCATCACATGTTTCATCAAATAGTTCCTCAGAGGGATAGACTGTGCTTCCAGCAATTCATATTCTTCTCTCTTCACTTCATTTAGACGTTGAGACTGGAAAAGTAAAAGAAGCAAAACAAGACGTGAGAGTTTGATTATCCATTATGTTTACTTTTAGAACTCTTCTGTGGCTGAAAAAAAAAAGAGTTGAAAAAAGACAAAGATGTTGGATGTTCCTTTTAAAATTCTAAGAAATACATATAATACAAAAATACATGACTCTGTTCACTTTATGTCCTTTGAGAACAAAAGAACAACAGTCTCTGTTAAAATGTAACTTTTCTTATTTATGTTGGTCTCATCTTTTACCTTCTAATTTTGAGTATTCAGTCAAAACACCAAAGTCAATTTTCTGGAAGAATTAGCTGAAAAGTATGAGCAAGGACCAAGTATATGTGACAGAAGCGTTTATCCAGTAAATTCCATTCCACAACTCTGATAAATATCAGCCTACCCATTCTTCCTGTCGTCTCCTCCTCTCCTGAAGTTCCTCTGCCTCCTTCCTTTCCTTCTCAGCCTTTTCCTCTGCTTCCCTTTTCACTCTTGCTTCTTCTTCCAGCCTTCTCATCTCTTCCAATTCTTCTGGGGTGGGTCCTGTAGTAAATGAGGAAAGAAAAACCCCCCACTCAATATGCAATTTCAGCATGAAGTCTTTTTCACAACTACTTGAAAAAAAAAAACACATTCCGAAAGGAACACTCTCAGTCATGAAGGAATCTGGTATCCCTCGTTTTATCTAAATTCACTGTCATAATCAAAGATAGATTATTTATTCTTTACTTTACATTTCGATACAGTTTTCCCAAAGCATACATTCAGACTTGAATATTGTGAATACAGGAAACAATTCCTTCAAGAACAACCGTAGTCACAATACTTGAGAAAATTGTCAAAGATCACCGTTCAGCCAAAAGAATATCTTAGAGAAAAACTATGAATCTCAGTTATTTTTTCTGATTTTGTTCAATCATGTTTACCTAAAACTGAACACGTTTCCATCTTATTTTAAGAAGTGCAAATAGAAGAGAACAGGTAAAATACACTATCATGCGCAACTGTTAAACAATTTATTCATTTTGGTGCCAAGTTCTTACCATAGTTTCTGGGGCTTCCAAAAATTTTCTTGATCTTCTCAGCAGTATCTTTCATCATCTCTGAGTTGTCCTTTGCCACATCTGAGAACAAAAAAAGAATAATAATTAATTTTGCTTGTCTTCATAGAAAGTATAATTCATTTTTTCCAAATTTTCTTCCCTCCACAAAGCATAAAGGTAATACTTAAAAGCAACATCACAATTGGTCCTATCTCTGGACCAACAAGTAGCAGAGAGCTATTTATACTTCATCAAAATATTCTTGTCGGTTTTTGTGGGGAACTTGATGCTTTCTCTTTTAGGCATTTTTTAATCATGGCATTGATTCTGAGCAGATTCTTCCCCCCCCCCCCTTCCCAAACTCTTCCACCCTCATACTTTTTTCCCTCCTTTTGCAACCATACACTACCGGGATAACCCACCTATTTTCTCTGGATGGAACTCAAGCTCATCAAAGTAGTTGAGCACTGTATCATCCTCTGTGTTGGTGTTCCTGTAGTCTGTGAGCCGACGCAGCAGCTCTTTCTCCGTGTTGTGTGTGTTGGTCACCACCGACTCCGGCAGGTTCATCACACGCTGCTTCAGGAAGTCATCCACGGCCTCCAGGTTGATGACAAATTCTGGCATGATGGTTTTATCGAAGCTAGCCTGTCCTTCTGCCGCCTCTTCCTCATCTTCTTCATCTACAAAGGAACAAATGACATCATGCATGATGGAAAAATGTGTAAAGTAAATGAAAATGTACACTGACACAAATGAGAGACTCTTTTTTAGTTTAGTTTTAGTAGAGGTTTTACGGCTGTCAACACAAAATCACAGGGACGTCACAACTGATGATGCTCAAAAGTAGACAACAACCATTTGTGCACATTGAACACAAACACAAATATCTATAATAATACATTTAAAAAGAAAGGAAAAGAAAGAAAGGAAACTCAGATTTTAACAAGGAAAACAATTATAAAATGTTGGAGAAAATATCAAAGAATAGAGAAAGAAAGAGTTAGCCGAAGAGGCACAGAACTATTGCCGATCAACTGCAGGCAAAAAAGCACTGAAACATGATGTAACTGTGGCAGAAAGTCAGGCAGACAATCGTTAAATGTAGTCTAAGAAAGTCCTTCTTTAACTCATTCGCTACGCCGAGCCGTGGGGGTCGGCGCGGCTCAAGTGCCGTCAGTACGTTAAGCCGCCCCCGGCGGCTCGAGAACCGTCGTTCAATTTTAGCTTGGTTTCTATTCCAATCCACTTATCCATGTTAAAATAAAGGTCATAATATAATGTTGACTTCCGGGTCAAGCGTTTCCACCGAAAATCGGAAGTTTTGATTCAGTTTTGAAACATGATTTCGTAGTTTATTCGACTTTGTTTTATCGCGAAGCCCAAATTATAGCCCAGACACCAGTCTTAGTACTTTTACACAACAAAATGTATAATTATTTTGCTCACTAAAGAAGTGTAGGACTCTTCTTTATAATATTGATACTATTGGACGCAAATTGCCGGTGCACTGTAATTGAGAAATCAATATTTGAGTGCTAGATCTAGGCCTAGATCTAAATAGTCAAAATATTTTTTTCTCCCTAAAATCACTACTTTTGGGTGAAATTAATAAAAAAAATACCACTCAAGACATGTATAGGTTTATTCCAAGTGCAATTCTGAATAATTCCATATAAGTTACGCGTATTTTTTTCTGTTTGTGATCCTTTTTTCAAAATTATTTAAAAAATTATTTTTTTTCAATATCGGATGTTATGATCCAAATGTACAAACATTATGGAATGTATGTAAATAACTGCACATTTTTCAATATTTTCCTGTTCTATATACAGTTATGGTTATTTTGAGGTATCATTTGACTAGGTGCAAACATGTTTTTTTAGCTTCACCTGAGATTATACATTTTTTATTTTCCAATTTTATCCGCATCCAATCAAAATTGTGTTGCATAATCGCCTCTTACAAGAACCAAAGTTGAAAAATACGCAAATAAATAATGTAGGTGTATTCTACAAACCATACTGAAAATGTTGGTATATAACATGTTGATATTTATTTGAATTTATGGCCCCAAAGACCTGCGAACTGCGCACTAGTCATCATCTCATTTCGCCCTCCCGAAAAGAATTCGTCCACAAGCCGAAAATAATACGTAGCGAATGAGTTAAGACACAATGTCCTTCCATAAAATCCCAGGATAATAACCAACAGTGGGTAAACAAGTTGCATTGGATTTTTAAAAATACAGAAGCTGCTTTAGATATATGAATCTTTATATTGAAAAAAAGGGAAACAAAACATTTTGATATTGTAAGGGAAACACAAGCCTTCCACGATTTAAACGTGATGAGCAGACTAGTATACAGAAATACAAATAAATCTGCCTAAAATCTGATATCATGATCAAAGGTGCAGGGACTATAAAAAATTGTCAAAGCAACTACAATCTCTCTACTATCATACAAGGCCAAGATGAAAAATGAAATCAGTGCTGTAATAAATCCAAAACGTACTAGCAAACAATTCCTTTGCTTGGGAGAGGGTCTTGGGGTATCCGTCCAAGATAAACCCCTGATTCTGGCACGGCATGGCCTTGAGACGGTCCCGCAAGAAGCGGATGATGAACTGGTCCTCGATGCGACCTCCGTTGTTTTCTTTGCTCTCATTGATCTGGTCCAGGAGTTCCTGGGCCTCCTGGGCTCCGCTGTCCTCCTCCTCCTCTGTGTCCTCCTCATCGGAACGGCGTGTCTTTGCTTGCTGTAGGCATAAGACAAGATAAAGTACATTAACATAAAATAAGGTAGAGATAAGACACACTAAGATAAGATGAGACAAAATACGAAATTAAACTTTGGTTTTTTTATAACTTCAGAAAGTATATTTAAAAAATCAGTAAAACAACAATGATTACGGTAAGATAAGATAAATATTTTTAATCCATACTAGAGAATTTTGATTAAAATTGGGAAGCAGAAAAACAAGAAAATGTGAGAAACATGTATGGCCATGATTCAATGACTAACGTATACAATACCAATTGAAATGTTCAAGAACATTCATCAACTCTGAGCTGTACTAATCTTATCTTAAGTCCAGCCAAGCTGGCATGCAGCTGCTTATGCTAATGGCTGTCAGAAAATGTTAGTGTCAGAGGTTGGGATCTACACCCTGTCACAGTATCTTGAGGTTTTTTTCTTTGAGGTTGAAAATACAAGCAAAACTGTCTAAGACAGACACCCATTGTTGAGGAAAAAAGGGGCCATATTAGACAGGCGGTCATCTTGCACAGTGTCATTGTAATAGAAAAAATACACAAGAGAGGAAATAGGAGATGGCCATTTGTACAGGTAATTGTCTTAATATACAAGTGTCCGTTATTTGTTGGAACTCAACATACTACAACAAAGGAGAGAATGAGTAACAAGAAATAGTCCTCACCAAGCCCTCCAACTCCTCGTCAATGACCTCCTTGATCAGGATGTGATGAAGTTTGTAGAATTCACACAACTGCTTCGTCACCGTGGTCTTCCCTGAGGCGGGGGGACCTAGGATCACTGCTCGGAGGGGCTGAGAAAGGAGAATACAATATTTTTTAAATTCCAAGACTTTTGCCCATAATTGAATGCTTTCATTGCTAGCCACTTTTACAACAATGAAGTTACGTTTTACAGCTTTGGAGTCCCTCCATGACTAAAACAGTCATCATGAGAAGCATTTTTTTTCTTTAAAAAAAAACGTTATACTGAATTTGTTTCTTTTTCCCCAAAACACTATGTGTGGCCTTTTGTGTCTGGACAGACAATCTTAACACAGTATGCATGACACAGCTTTGCCTCTGCAGTCGACATTAAGGAAGTAGACAGTTCAAGAACTGCTTCCCTCCCTTCAGATCTTGACAGTCTTGATATGTGCCGATGGAAAAACTTAGTTGATATGATTAGAATCAAGGAAAGTATAAGGGCATGTCTTACTATTTTCATTTTTTATTACTCTTTTTTTTTTGCTTTAATATACTAGACACAAATGTCATTCTGAAGACCCTTCCAAAAAGGGGGTTTTACTATATTATTTTTGACTAGACCAGAATCTTGGTTGACAGATTGACCTAAAAGAGAGCTGGACCAAAGACAAAGAAGATAAGGAGAAAAAAATGATATCCTTTCACAGTAAACAGTGTAACATAATATGAGTGTCACCTTACTTAAAAGAGGTGTAGGGTATACTCTTAGCAGGATATCAGACACCTAATACTCCAGCCTGCTTGAGGATGTTATGTCAGTAGGGAGACTGCGACATAAGAAACAAGGAACAAGAAAGGAAAGGAGAAAAAACCCCACAGATGAACATCTACCATTTTCAAACTGATTATCAGTTAAGTTATAAAGATTTATGTAAGTGCCTTACTTATTACAGAAGAAATTTTGCTGATTTTAAAAATAAAGAAACATAGTAACACTCACAAAGTAAAGGATTTTACGAGAGAAGAGGAAAATACTTGTACCTGAAGGCTTCTAGAATCTTTGTACTCCTTGATGATTGGAATAATGTTGTCAATGATGCCTGCTTCAGATACCCAGCTGATGTGCATGTTTTCCTTCACAAATACTGAATCCATTCGCAGGTTCACCAGCAGCATATCAAAGTCAGCTTGCTGAAAAAGTTCATTTCTATTTGTTAATCTATCTTGAAAATAAAGAGATTATAATGAACATGAACCAAATTTCTACTCTAAGGACACAAATGGTCTAGGTATTATAGAAAAGTTAATTAACATGACCCTGTATGCAGATATATGGTCCATGATTTGGTTTACTTGTACGTCTTACATGTTTCATATATATATATACCAGTGAAGATAAGCCTGTACATGTGTAAATGAAGTTTCAAGAAATCTATGCTTCACGCTCTGCACTGATGGACGTATGTTTTCCTATGAATGAATGAGTTCAAAATATCCTTCACTAAATAAAGTCAAATTGGTTGAGAACAGACAAAAAAAACTTTACATACTGTGAAGCTTAATTCACTTTTCATATTTTCAGACATTTTCTCTGTTTAGTTGACCTTCTTTCATACAGCTAATTTAAACACACTGACTTAGTTTTATATGCACTAAGCTTCAGTTGTATGCAGAAAAGGTGAAATGGCAACATCGCTAAAAGTATGACTCACCTCAATGTCTTTGCTAAGAAGAGCCTCCTCTTTTGTGATTTGCTTCAATTTGCCTGAGCCCAAGTTCTGACTGACAACCTGGTTGAGTAAAAAAAAACCCAAAAAGCATTTCAGAATCAATCAAGAAAAAGCATTTGCTGTTCTTTAAGGTAAGCATTATCATCTCATTATATTTTTGTTATGCAATATCCTTTACTTAGTAATTTGCTCATCATGAGTTTTGGCAACATTCAATTTTGAGTGTGGTGAATGTCAATACAGACATGACAAAAGTAAATCAAGCTCTAATGGAAGTAGTCTAACAAAATCATATTTACCCTAACAATCTCCTCCAGTGTGTTCTGAGCATCATCTTTGGCAATTATGTACCTCACTTTTGGTCTCGCATCCGCCACATTCTGAATGACACTGCAGAAAATGACATGCCATTGTAACACATATACAATCGAAATTGTCTACAATGGCCACCCATTGTCAAGGAGAAAAGCAGTTGTCTTAATCAGGTGAACATCTTACACATTATAATGTTACAAAATATGCAAAGGGGGAAAAGGGAAGTGGTCATTTGTACAGGTGATTGTCTTATACAGGTTGCCGTTAGCGCAGGTTCGATTGTTCGACTATTGATATCAATCAAATTCTAAAGACAGAAGGACAAAATAAAAAAATGAAACATCATTCAACAGCAGTATTGCCTTAATAATATTATGTTTCGCGGGTTCATTTTCCTTTCCAAAACACTATAAAGTTATGTAAGAAGCAGGACTTGAAGTCAAGTGGGTGTAAAACGAAGAAAACTCCTGGGGAAAAGAATTAAATTCAAGAATACCCTATTAGGTCTTTGAACTACAGCAATCTGCATCATAGTTCAGTCTGATATGACTGAGATAGTGTTGTGCCTCAAGAATAGCTTTCGAAAACTGACTTGAAAAAAAGAGCTTCAATAGTTCATAACGATTGTTGAGATTTTTATACTCAGCACTTATAGATCCTCCCTAGTAGAATGACCAAGAAACACTTACGCAGCAAGATCTTTGATGTGGATGGTAGGAACAATGTTTGTCCCATCACCAAAGCACTGCAGCTGTGGGGCATTGTGCCAGGCAGACTGTAGGGATGGTAAAAGTTAGTTTATCAATTTAATTATCAAAACTGTCACTTTGTTTTTTAAAATGAAAATTTCAGGGGATTTCACACAGACATGACAAGTACTGTCCCTGATCTTCCAGGGTTACATTCAAATAAGTCCAGTGCAAATTGAAAAAAAATATTCAAAATAATAAACATTAGAGGAATCCAAAGAAATTATTTTAAAATTATGTTAATTGGCGTGTAGCGCTTAAGCATATAATAAATTTCATTACAATGACCTACTTACTAAAGGAAAAAACAAATTTACTGACCTTGAACAAATAGTGAAAGATGTTTTCCTCAGCTCCGTATGTCAAACCAGAGCAAATGACATAAGTCACAAGTTTGGCCTTATTCTGCAAAGACAAATAATGTAGGATCAAATTAAATCGTCAGTGTCCATTCTTAAATAAATTCAATTCAAGTTTCTCCATTACACTTGAAATATCCCCATGATATTCTCTTTACTTACTACAGTATTATCAGGACACATATGCTGAATGGGCCTATATCTTTTCACCAGCACACTGTTGCAATTGTTTTTGTGATAAGTCATTCACTGTCTACTGAAATTAAATATTATATAGGGGATGCATACCTTGCATGGTCACATTACATAAATGAAAACATAAAGAAATAACTTTTAAAATAAAATCATGATACTGTGTTTGGGAAGCTTGCAGCTTATTATAAAGGCTTGAAACATCAAAAAGAAAACAGAACAGGTAGACACTTTGTAAATATATATTTTATATTTTCTCTGATCCAGATCTTAAAGTCACTATAAAGCATTGGCAAAATTGTAAAGAAATGTATTTCTACAGTATTTTACAAGTGATATACCTATTAAGAGAGAATGACAACTGAAACCCACCCCCCAACATAAGTAAAATAAAATAAAATAAATTAATAAATTAATGAATAATTAAATAAATAAATACATAGATATAAATATGAATGAATGAATGAATGAATGAATGAATGAATGAATGAATGAATGAATGAATGAATGAATGAATGAATGAATGAAATATTAACAATAAATTAAGAAAAATTAATTATAATTCAATACAATGAAGGTTATAGGAATTTCAGTCACACACTTATTATTAGGAAGGACACATTTATTATCTATACGTGTTGTACGTTAGATCTGAGGAAAATGTAGGTACATTTGAAACTCTCTCTGATTCGAACAAAATATAAGGGGACGCTGTTCCCATTTGTAGACACTTCACACTAACGCTATAGACTGCCAACTTTATCAGAACAGACAGCCAACTTTATTAGAAAGTTATATTGTGTTGTCAACATTGTTTTGGTTTGTGCATTTCCCTGTTCAATGGCTCGTACGAATCCGAGTATGTTATTTCCAAAGATTACATCATTTACCAGATGTCGTAAAAGACACAGACAATGCCTGGATGCCGACTGACTATCCATGCAAATATTTATGGCTTTCAAAAATGTATTAATAAACCTTATACAGCGACAAAAACTCAAAACAAAAACCAAAAAAACCCAAAAAAGAACCTAAACAAAAATTACCGTTTTTCCCAGCTTGATAACAGTTTTCTCAGCACTGATATGTTCCTTGAAGTTTGGGTGAGGCTTGCGTCTGCGATAATCATCTTCCGTGAAAGGAATTTCGGGATCATCCTGAAAAATTAGAGACGTGATGTGATTATCACACTATCAAACCCAAGCAGAGAAGATAAGCCCACAAAAAAGAAGTAGGCCTACTGATGCTTATTTACCCCTGCAAAACTTACAGTAGATATAAGTAGGCCTACATGGTGACCTTTAACCACAGGAGCACAACATAATGTATTTGAAATGAGATTATAGTAAAATAGTTAACTATTTGATTTCAGGTTGTTTTTTTAGTTCATATATACCAACAGATTTGAAACACACAAAAAATATATATTTGTCAAATACTCATACTGATGAGTGCATAACTAATTGATGCACAATAAAAAAACCCAGAGAAACAAAACAAACTCTTAATTTAACCAGTACCAGGTTTTAAAAAAAGCCAGTAATGATTTGCAATACTTACAGGGTCCAAAGGTTTACTCTTTGCCCATGTCATGCAGGAGGAGATTAAGATAAACATCTTTGATTTATCGATTTTCTCAAGGTCTGAGTGCATTTCTGTAGAGGGAAGAGCAGATGATATAGCTTTTTAATAAAACATTTCTATACTTGACAATAAAAATAAATAGCAGATTTTAATTTCAATTGGGTATTGACTGTATTTTGCTCAAAGCAATGGTGAATTTTTAAACAATTCAAATAGTTGGGTTTTTTTTTACATAACAGTGCAAGGTCTATGTATTTTTTGAACGAGGAAAAACATCCCAACTGGGGAGAGTGTTGCTACCCCAAGTGCATAAACTAGTAACCATTTTCACCAAGATGCCTACAATAGAGAAAAAAATTCAAACAATTACAATGAAACTCGGATAAAACGTACGTCACGTCTGACCTTCAAATGAGAGCCATTTTCGTTTCTTTAATGCCATACTGAAGAAATGTTGGAAAATTCTAAGAATTTACATTAAACTCTACTAAGCATATATTGTGTGAAAGGGACGATTCATTTAAAGGCACGTCTGTGTCATCTATCATCCATAACGTACTGTTTGTTAAACATTCCAGCGGGCAATTCATTGCGTAAATCTTTGACAAAACTAGCTTATGATTGTTATATTGCTCAGTAGCCGGGGGCAAAAAATGACTGACGCGTTTGTATCTCTACAGACGTTCCACCCCCAAACTGCTTGTGCCCCCTTCCCCCCACCCAGACACACACACCACACAGTCACTTTTGCTTACCGCCCATCCAACCCCGACACACGGTAAGACATGTGAGCCTGTTTTCGTATGAAAGAAGACCACTGATTTGTAGCATAAGATCTGAACAATAAGCTACACGAATAATGGTTTGCGATGCAGGTGTCATGGATGGTTTCCAGGAATAGTTAAGGTTCGGTGCGAGAAAAAAATGAGAGAAGCAATGAAAGCGGGGGCTGTTCATCCTGCAAGCAACTTCGTTGAATCCGAGCTTGCTCATTTATGTGTTCGAGGAATCAAAATTATTTTTTATGGATTTTGCGCATTTAAGCAAACAGGGAATCCTACTCCTTTAGTTGATCCAAGTTTTCGTTGAATCTGAGTTTGTTGAATCCGAGTTCCACTATATAATGCTCGCCAAAATGGCAGTCTCCTTCTAATCCTATATATGAGAAATAAGTTCAGCAAAACTTTGTATTAACATCCCAATAACTTTATCATTTCATCTCTTCCCTGACTTCTTAATATCATACCCTTTCCACTAAAAGGATTTTTGCGTAGAAAAAGCTGTCCTTGAATAAGTACCCCATTCCATTACAAAAAGACAAAATAACCGAAGACTGTGCGTACAAATAGTGCTATAACAATTGATTATTATTTCACATTCTCTCCATACCTGACACAGCCCAAACAGCTTCATCAATCTGATCTGGATCTTCGGTGATGTCATAGATGATAATATCACACTCTACCAGATACTCATACAGTTGATCCTTGTTCTCAAACTGAGGACATTGTAAATTTACTATAAGACAGACAATATAAACCATATTATAAAAATTGTTTCTATTATAGCATCATACAACTATTGCTAAGGAAGAGCTCTTTCACCAAAATAATCATGCATCTGAAGGTGAATATGTTTATACATTCTTTTTTTTATGGGGGAGGAGGAACTATCTATTAATGTGTATAGAGATTATACTTCTGGTGGCACCGACCTTTACGTCAATTTTTAAAAGAAACCAGAAATTCTTCAGACCTCAAATTTAAACGTTCAAATTCATTATTTCTAAGAACATGTTGTAACCAGACTTTAATAATTTTGAACGTAAGAACTTATAAAGTTATAGGTTTTGATAACAATGTATCATTATGAAATGCACCAGAATTAAGGCATTTTTACGAATTCCACGTTAAAAACAATGTAAACGTCCCTCCTTCACTAAAGGCTCAAAGCTGGTCAGTCAGCTTAGGCTGACAGTGTAACACACCATTTAGGTGGATGGTCACTTTGTGTGTCCTTGAGAAACACGATAATCCTAGCTGAAAAATAGGGTGCTGTACAGTGGCGACCAGCAATTGTGTGTGGATTGTGTACGATTGTGATATTGTGTATTATTTGTGCATTTATGTATTTGTGTGCGTACATACACCATTGCAAAACAAATTTCCCAAGGTGATCAATAAAGTGGAATTTAATCATGTTATTTTTATGTAGTGGATATTCTAAAGACACACGTATTCAAAAACATGTTTTCCAGATTTTGATGAAACCGAAATTCACAAAATCCAGGTTTTAGTGACACCCCCCCCCCCCCCCCACCCCATCCTCTATATCCTCTTTTTCAAGCAATTGTTTTTGGAAAATAAAAAGCAATTATTTCAAGGTAAACACTTCAACTGCTGGAGAAAACTCTCATTCTTTGGATAGTATGACTACAAAGAACAACTGAAAAATATTAGCTTCTATCATCTTACAAGGATCAGTTCCTTAGCAAAGTCTGGCTTTTGTTTTTCCCTGTCCTTGACAGTTCCAACAATTTCATAACATCCCTCTCTGCTTTTCTCCATGATGGAGCTGCTAACTGACTGGTTGTCTTCATCTTCCTCTGCTTCCTCAAGGCTTGCACCAACAACACACCGAGACAGGAACTGAAAAGCAACACAAGATTGTTTTAAGTAAATTAAATTGAACTTGAAAATGTACATTAGTATCAGTAGGCCTATTCCACATTTTCACTAATTCAGGGATGAGTTCATGGAACACTATGAACCAGCAAAAAAAAAGAGACCATAACATGTAAAAATCTTCTAAGAACAGAGTTGATGAGCCAAGATACTTAGTTAAATCAGCATCACTGAAGGGTTTATGTTATATGAAGATGAAGAAAACAAAAATAAATTACAGTCACTGATTTAAACATTTATCTAGCAGGATTTGAAACAATGATTATTTGGTGCATTTCTGTACAAAACCCACATGAAAAAACCTGCACAGAGACTGAATATCACGTCACTGGTTTTTATGCATACATAAATCAAAATGAGCACCAATATTATTATGTGAGATATCTATGCAGTGGCTATAAGTTATAAACTTATCCATAATCTTGATTTCATCCTTCTCTCTACCCTTTTCATAAATGGCAGTTGTCAACTCCTCAACCTTTTTTTTAATACAGATCAATCACAAACAGGTATAAATCTTAAACCTATGTGCGCTTGTTGATTTGCCCTCTACCCTGTAAAATGTTATCATTTGTTATTATTTCAACGTAAGAAGCAGCTCCATTCATGATCTAAGGTCCAGATGCATACACCAGAATCATATCTGCAGACGTGAAATAAATAATAATGAAAACTGAAGTAATCTACCTCTTTGTCAGCATAGGAAGCAGCCTCTAAAGGGTACTAGATCTGGCTAGTGGTAGTTGTAATGCTTCCTTCCCAGGTCCTCCCAACCTTGTTTTATGGTGCCAAGACCAGGACAGTGTACTAAAGACATGCCATGATGCTGGGTTTATGTTCCCCGATAAGTATATTTCTGCACCTCGCCTTCCATTCGGTCCCGTATCATTCCGGCCTTGGCTCGGCGCACAAGCGCCCAGCATCATCCATTGCTGTGATGACCGGGTCCCGTATTCCCGCAGCTCAAGTGTGTGTGCATCAGTCTGCTTGAGTTTGTGTGCGTGGTGGCCTACTTCTAAAATTGCTTGCGTTGGTTTGTAACCAGGGCGTACCTCTCATTCAAAACACGACAAGTTGGTAGCTCAAATATGTTCTTCCAATAAAATTACAATAAATTGACCAACTTAGACATGAGGAGCTCGAAAGGATAGCCAGGAAATTAGACTTTCATTATTTTCTATACAAAATCTTTCAAAATAAGCTTGATTTTATATAAAATGATATATATATATTAGGCCTACCTGATAAAAGTAGGCCTAAGCATATTTGATAGTTTTGAATACCACTGTGCAGGTAAAAAGAAAAATCTGAGAGCAAAACATTCAGAAATTGACCTACATTATTTCCATTTGAACTCTTATAGATCGTTCAAAACAACAAAAGAGCGTCTAAAAAGGTTACTCGAATGAGCGTAACTATTACACCTACTCTTATAATGACTTATCAGCTGGTGAGAGGGGGTTATTCATGTGTTCATAATACTTTATAATTATAGAAGCTATAAGAGACAGAGCGTTATTTTCATAATTGATTGACACGTACTCTCACAATATTCAGGGCGAAAACATACATTTCGCGGGCAGCTCGCAGTATACACTAAACAGTTAACACAGTGAGTGACCCCGGTGGCCTGCCAAAATGTCCATATGGTAAGAATAATAGCTGATAGATGAGACGACAGACGCAGGATAGTATAATCATTTCCATATGAAATGCCTCAGGAGAATTCTTAGTATAAAATGCAGAATACCGATTAAGCTCTCAAAAGAGCAAATGACGAGAATCTGTTTACTAGCTCTATAAACGACTCAATTTTTAAAAAATGCCAGATTTCAGAATCCAGAAGGCAGTATTTTATTTTGAACTGTCCTCAGGGAAACATGGAGGCGCACCTCAAAAAAATTTTTTTAAGCGCTACAAGGACAACCTGAAAATGTCTCTGCGGAACTTCAACATAAAACATGCCATACCCAGAGCCTACCTTGACAGACTCGGATGGAGAGCAGCAGTCACAGTGGGCAGCAAATAAATCATATAAACTTCACGAATAAGAAATGTTAAAAATAAGAGAGTAAGTCCACAAGCTGAACACATAGGCCTATATACACAAAAGGAGCTTCGAAATGTTCAACAAACTGTGGTAAACTTTTCTCTGCCACTTACCAGGGCCAGGGCATGGCCATGGCTGAGGAGTTTTATTGAATTTATTGGTAATTTTGAAGCGGTTAACCTATCCAAGCTTACTGGTATTGAATAAAACGCGTCAATTTTTATCTTCACACAAAATAAAGTTTTTACCTTTCCGATGTTTTTGCCCTGGAAGCTATCCAGGTGGTTTATAAATATCTTTTTGCTCTTAGGCTTCTCCGCTGCGTCTTCGGCGCTCGCCATTTTGTTTAAGATGTTGCTATGAACGACGTTCGTTTCCGGTTCAGCCAGTTAGCCAGGACTTCTCATGTGGATTGAGGATAAAGTATTTTTTATTTTCGAACCGAAATAATAATAATTATTTCAAGATGCCTGAAAGAGATTGTGAGATCTGTGTGGATTCATTTTAAATATGTATTTGTTTTATTTTTTTAACTTGTTAGTCATTTATTATTAGAAGATCATATCCTCTGAACACTGTGTTAGAGAGGTAGGCTACTGGTATGTGTGAACTTGGCAATGTTTCTGAGCGTTGACCATAGATCACAGAATTCTACACTTATAGAAGCGGAACTCCCTCTTCGCGATCGCCGATTCGCTGTGAGGAATTGAAACTAAAACATGGCGGCCGGTTGAGGGCACCTTTGGCTGCGCCGCACAGCGAGGCTTCGCGTTGCTATGCACGCTGATGCTAGTGGTAGGGCTTGGAAGACACCTTACATCAGTATTTTAAAACTTTCTTCGAAGAGGAAATATAGTGAGATAGTCTAGTACCTTTTTATTATGTCATAATTGGCAATGTTACAATGTTTTTGTATTTGTATTGTTGGTTTGTTGTTTTTTAAAATGATGGGATGGGATCTAGAATCTAGATCTAGATCTCTGGATCTACTAAAGACCTTCACAATCACAATACACTTGATAATAACACTAATTATGAACATTAATTCTGTTGGCAAAATATCTAGATATAGTCTTGATTAGTACTAGATCTACGATAAGGGGACGCTGACAGTAACATGCTCACTACAATAATATTGTCATTAAACTTAAGGCCATCCAAAGCAAGCAAAAAAAGAACAATATAAGCCTTTTCTCCAATTTACTAGAAAGAGATAAATAAATTGAGCTTATATTGAGGAAATGTATTATTTTTCACTTTAAGAATTCATTTCTGTGTTTGCACCAGTAGTGTGTACAACAACATATGCTTTGTTTAAAGCACGTGCAAGTCTAACAATTAATACAAGAGATTGGAGAATGTGTCGGTTGCACAAAAAATACATAGGCCTATTGTACATGCTCCCAAAAACACAAAAATGCAGAAAAGGCCTCAAAATATTGGTTTACACATAAAAGCCAATAATGCAAAACAAAGTAAACAAGAGTGGAACTGGCATAATAATATGTTTCCTGAATATATGTTCAAAGTCATTTTCTGTGCGTTGGGAGTGTGATTTCTAATGCATGAATGATAGGCTCATTTAGATGTGATAATGAAGAAACTTGTGTCTACAGTCACAACAGAAAGAGTTCCATGGCGAGTGATCACTAGTCAAGGATTTCAGAGCTGTGTGCATTTTGAGAAAAATGTATCCCCATACCCTGGATCACATGTCGAGGGGATGGGCTTGTCCCTCTGTAATCCCCGCACACAGTAAACAAACACATATTTTTGAACACGAATAAGAAAAAATAAGTGGTCTCTTGTTACGGATCAAATTGAAGTCCTGTTTCAATTCGATTAATTGATAAAAGTGCGTATCGCAATGCGTTGGCCACCCCTGCCCTATATGCCCTATGCTATTTAATAAATACATTTGTCAGACCTGGAATCTTTAATGCCCGCACACAGTAAACAAGCACACATTTTTGAACACGTATAAGAAAAAATAAGTGTTGTCTTGTTATGGATCAAATCGAAGTCCTGTTACAACTCAATTAATTGATAAAAGCGTGTATCGCAAGGCATCGGCTAACACAGCACTATTACGCGATTTTATAAATACATTCATCAGATCTGGAATCTTTAATCTTTAATTTTTAATCCCCGCACACAGTAAACAAACACACATTTTTGAACACGTATAAGAAAAAATAAGTGTTGTCTTGTTACGGATCAAATCGAAGTCCTGTTACAATTCAATTAATTGATAAAAGCGTGTATCGCAAGGCATCGGCTAACCCAGCACTATTACGCTATTTTATAAAAGCAAGTGTAGAATTCTGTGCCATAGATGTACACTATAGACTATAGTGACTACAGTTTAAAAGAGGGTAACTCTATGGCGTTGACACAGAGACTCTTACTTAAATACTCTCTGGTTGACACTACAACACAAGATAATAGTTCTAGGCCTTTTAACACCAATTAGGCTAATATCTAAAAGTTATACGTTTGCAATCCCCGACCCGTCGAACTATTGATGTACAATATAAATGTAGACCTATTAATTCGTGTCTTTTCACCTTTTTTGCGCGCGCCGTGTGTGTGTGTGTGTGTGTGTGTGTG